TTAGGGTGCTATGGAAACCTATCACAGTAAATTACTAAGTCAGACTGGGTATGGTATGAAAATTTTCATATCCCTTATAGACCCCTTAAATACACCCCTAAACAACGGCAAGGGCTACAAAGGTGATCCAGGGTGCTATGCAAAGCTATCACAGAGGAAACATACTGGCAAGCATCATCATGGAAGGGAAGATTGAAGGGCCGAGAACACGAGGATGGCCCAAGAGGGAATGGTGCACAACGGCCAAGGCTACAGACTTGATGATAATACACACTCACACACACAGAAGCGCACATGCACACACACACATGCGCGCGCGCGTGTGTGTATGCGTGTGAGGGGACAGGCAGATATAAACATAAATGTATGCATAATAGCATATTTTGCTATTTTACCTCTTGCACATTCCGCCTGAGCGCGTCGACACTAGGCGGTACACAGTCCCGGCGCCGTAGAGGAAAGCGTCGCTGTCGCTGGAGATCACGCCGTCCACCACCTGCAATCGGAGTTTTGCTACAAACTGTTGATCTCTTTCTTTCTTTAATGAATTCTTTCTCTCTCTGTATATATCGTTTTCTCTCTTGCTCTCTCTCTTTCTCATTACCACGAACAGGATAATCTGTCTCTGTCATAACAACAAAAACAAGCTCTGAGGAGGCACTGACCCCCCTTTGGTCCAGCCAAGCGCACAGTTTCTCGGCCTCGCCTTCGCTCCGCACGACGGGTGCGCCCAACCCCCTCAGCACCTGCGGGGTGACGACTTATCACAGGGGTAATTTCTATCATATTAATGATAGTAATGGCCATATGAATAACATAAAAACTACATATCATCACAGTAACAATAATTAGAATAGTGTTTACCATTAATATGGATGTCTTATCACCATTCATGTCAGACTATTTAACGGTAAAGTAAAATAATTGTAATACCCAAAATATCTTTTTCTTTTACCTGGGTAAGTGCAGTCGTTGGCCTGATGGTGCACGGTTCCTCATACCTAACGGAGCACAAGGTTCATTGATATCTATGAATGAAAATTATCAGAATTATAAACATACAGTAAGCTATTACTTTCGCCTTTTTATTTTGATGAATCAGAAGAAATAGGGAGGCCCCTTTCGCACGAACATTTTTTTCCTTATAGCGGACGAGAGCCTTTTGGCCTTGTACCGCAAGCACTTCCACCTGCGCTCGGCCACGACGGACAGCTTTTCCTGCGGCACTCGCCCGTCCAGGACTACGAGGGGCACTACGCCTGCCCGCACGAGGTTCCTTACGCGATAGAAGAAGGATCTGTGGGGAAGGTTTGGAGGAGTCTTGGAGTAGGATGAAGCGATGATAGATGCAAACGGCGCAAAAAGAATGGTGAAATACAGTATGTTCAGGACATGTTAATATGCGTGTATTTTGGGGGAAATGGAAAGAGAGAGAGTGTGCGTGTGTCCGTCTGTCTGTCAGTCTCCAAGGCGTCTACCTGAGCCCCACGTGGACTACCCAGCCCGAAGCATCAAGGGCTAGCACTGAATTCCTAAGCTGTTCAAGGGGCACGTTCTCTTGAGCTTCCTGGAGGATACGCCAGAGTCCTTTCACGCCCATATTTCCTCTTAAGATATCACCGAGGATCAGCAACCATGTGAAGCAGATTAAAACACAAAACAAGTACTGGGATTCAGAGCAGATCGATGTCAGTACATGAACTTATTGTACAAAACATTTATTTGACAGTCACAAGGCAAAAAAGATAACTTCCGTTGGTAGATGCAAACTCCTTGAGGGTGAAATTTGTTCTGCGTAAAGAACCTTCTAAAGAACTGAGTAAAACTCCGAATGGCACATCAAATGAACCGATTGATTTCGTTTCGGCTTCGTTTGAGGAGTCGATTAGGGTTATTCGCACAATTAATTTTAAATCGTGTTAAAATGGTGGAATTCATCTATAAGGAAAGATATTATATCGCAAATAATATCGTTTGATCACTATCATAGGTAACAAAAAAGAAACAACCACAGTAAGAACAGAATAAAAATGATAAGGTCGATGTATTCTCATACATTTGTGGCGGATTTGCATCTCGTCTATATGTGCGTCATAGCGTTGGTATTTTTGTTCGTAAGTAAGAGTATGTCATTCATACGTGAGTGTGCGTATGCGTGTGCGTGCGTGCGTGTGTGTGTGTGTGTGTGTGTGTGTGTGTGTGTGTGTGTGTGTGTGTGTGTGTGTGTGTGTGTGTGTGTGTGTGTGTGTGTGTGTGTGTGTGTGTGTGTGTGTGTGTGTGTGTGTGCACGCGCGCGTGTGTGTATTCATCTGGCTTCGTTCCTCTACAGCAAGGCTGACATTAGGGAACGTTCACATGATTATTATAATAATGATACTGTAATGATGGTAATAGCAGTAGTAGTAACAGTAGTAGTAGAAGTAGTTGTAGTAGTAGTAGTAGTAGTAGTAGTAATAGTAATAATAATAATAATAGTAACAATAATAATAATAATAATAATAGTAGTAGTAAACAATGATAACAATGGCAATAACGACAATAATAATGATTATGATAACGACGATAATAATAATAACGATACTGGTAATAATGAAATAATGATAATGATAATAATTATGAAAATAATATTGATAATTTCTACTAATGTTTTTATTATGATGATTATTGTTATTATTACTGATACTATTATTATCATTATTATTGTCGCCATCATCATTATCATTTCTATCATTATTATTATATAGTGTTAACAATAATAATAGTAATAGTGGTAATAATACTATTTCTAGTAATAGTAATAATGGTAAATATAATAATGCTAATAATAGTGATAATGGTAATATTACTACTGCTAATAATAGTGATAATATTAACGATACTACTGCCAATAATAGTAATAATGGTAATAATACATTTGCTGATTATTTTAACAGGGTCAAATACTTCTACTAATAATAGTAATAGCAGTAGTATAATAATACGAAGGCTACCTATATGTCTCTCGACTCTACAATAAGGACGATCATTACAGTGAAATCTAAGCGAGCATCAGCCTTTGCCACCGTCCTCCACAGCCCAGCGACAGGCGATACACCAGTCACATGGAGAAAGAACACGGAGAGAGACATTGTTTACCCTGTGGTTTAACACATGATCCGACCGTGTGGCTCTCGGCGATACTCGGTGGTGGTAAAGGAGAAGATGACGAAGGTGGAGAATAGAAGAGGGAGGAAGAAGATGACGATGAAGAAGAGGAGAAGGAAACAGAAGTAGAAGAGGAAGAAGGAAAAGATGAGGATGATATTGATCATAATGAGGATGAAGACGACGACGATGGCGACGAAGAAGACAATGGAAAAGAAGATTGTTGTAAAGAGGAAGAAAACGAAAGCGAAGGCAACGATGAAGAAGAAGTAGAGGCAAAAGAAGGCGACAGAGACCGCGACATGTCCTTCAATCTTTAAAAATAATGTGGAAATCATGGTAACGATTTCATTCATTATTAAGTTATTTACACTAATTTACACTTACGATCACTTCCTTTTTGTGGTGGTTATTGTGTCTAAGAAAGTGACAATGATAATGATATGAAAATTATGATAACAAAAACAATATCAGTGATTTAAATCGGTTGAACAATAATCAGGATAATGGTAAAGATAGCGTTAATGATTTTGAAAATGATATTTATATCGATAATGAAAGTAATGCAAATAATAGCAATGATAACACTTCAAATGAGGATGGTGATGATGTTACTATTATTACTACTTCTACCACTACTATTACTACTCTTACTCCTACAGCTGCCACTACTACTACTATAACTGCTACTATTACTACTACTTCTACTAATGATTTTACTACACTGCGACTGGACTATCACTACATGTCCATGCATGTGATAGTGATTACAGTAATTTTAACGGCAACAATGTTTAAAATAATAATGATACACACACACACACACACACACACACACACACACACACACACACACACACACACACACACACACACACACACACACACATACATACATACATACACATACATAGAAGAGAGAGAGAGAGCGACACCCACACACACACACACACACACAGAGAGAGAGAGAGAGAGAGAGAGAGGAGAGAGAGAGAGAGAGAGAGAGAGAGAGAGAGAGAGAGAGAGAGAGAGAGAGAGAGAGAGAGAGAGAGAGAGAGAGAGAGAGAGAGAGAGAGAGAGAGAGAGAGAGAGAGAGAGAGAGAGAGAGAGAGAGAGAGAGAAGGAAAAGCGCAGAGACCGAGAGCTGAATTATATCTGGCAACTATACTATAAGACTTCCCACCTGAGTCGCGAATGCAGAAGTTCACGTACGACACATCAGTCTCTGCTGCCAATTTTACTCTGATATTACAGGTGAGCGCGTAGTTTTTGTCAGCCTAATAGTCCTCGTAGTGTTTATTAATTTATGATTAAGATGGTGACTGAAAAGGTCGCTTTTGAAGTCGGTTTTGCATGAAACTGCTTGTTTTCTACTGTGAATTTCGAAGTTCAAAAAGATGATGGCACTAGTGATAAGCATATATAAATGTGTTTGGAAATAATAACGTTATGTGTCCTAAATTTTTAAAATATGCATAGTCTCTTAGAAAATGAATATGCGAATACTGAAATATGCAAATTCGTGTTTTACCTTTTAGAATTATCTCAAGTTGCGAGTCTAAGTTAAGATGGGCATGTTCATTGGTTATTTTTATAGTATTTTGAAAAGGCGAGTGCAAGTTATACAGAATATGTAGATGTCGATCACGATACAATACTGGAGTTGAGAGAAGAATATTTAGGAAAGAGATCAACATTTCCGTGTGACTGAGAACTATAGAAAGAAAAGAAAAGTGTGCAAGGAAGGGGGAAAGACAAAGACAGTCGCAAGACTTGAAACCAGCTATAATAATCTAATGGGGAGACCGGGGCAAGTTATGTACTTCAGTAATTCCATAATCAGTCAATAGATGGCACGGTGAGTTTTAGCACGTGACGCAGCCTATGAGCAAAGGCGATGGTCATAATGGGAGCACCGAAGGGTCACTGTGAGAAGAAATCAGCTTTTAATTGCATTTTTGTGTATCTTAGCCATCATGCTGTATCAGTACCAACAGTTATAGCATGAAAACTTTCCAAAGGTAGAGCAATAACTGTGAAAGGATTATGGATTGAGCACAGGCTAATGATAGTGGTGCCAATTGCTAATGATAGTGGTGCCAATTGTGTTGTGAAAAAAATGACCAAGTGTTCAAATTACGTGTTGGGATTTATTTACGGACTAGTTATTACCCGCCGCTTTCGAGTATCATGAAAAAAAAAAAATAAAACCTGCATATTTTGGCTTGTACAAAGTGTATGTTGTCCTAGGTCCTGGTGGGCTCTTCTGACGCATAAGTTTTCCATAAATTGTATTTCATTTATTACTCAGTAGAAAACATTAACATTTTATTTATAACCAAACAGGATTATAATCAGTTGTTTTTTTCCTTTATGCATACCAGGTGATCTGTGACAAGTTGACCTATAAATAACGATTTCGTTTATTTTGCCTGCACATATTGTACAATAGAGTTAAAAAAACGTCCAATCTTTAGCATTTTGAACTCAAACGTAAAGAAATACCTTATCCCAGTCTCTCTTCTCATTCTTCACAGACCGAGAGCGCCATGCCGGAGCACCAGCTACCCGTGACACTAGAAGAAATTCCTGAAGAAGAAATGGCCAGATATCCAGTCAGGCGCACGAAAGGCGTGAAAACCTTCGTCAGGACAAAGCCTGGAGGCGTTCTTATGCCTGCGACGTGAGTTGGGGAGAAGCGGGAGTGAAAACGCATGTGTGTGTGTGTCTGTGTGTATGTATTTCATGCTTAAATGTGATAATCATAAAGCACTCTTCCCTTTTTTCTTCCTTTAGATTAGTGTTGCAAGCTTTATTTTCGTCATTTTTTCGCGATTGAAGGCCACTAACCAATTCTTCCATGTCCTTTAGTAGTTGTGGAGTCCACTGCAGCTTACACTGAGGTAGGCCTAACGATAGTCGTGATGATTTTCTTTACCATATCTTCGGCTACATGAACGGGACCTTCATATTTTCTAAAATATTGTCACATTTATTAAAATCATTCCAAGTCACTTTCTCTTCTTAACGTATGATTTAATTAGGTTTTCTAGGAAATGAAATCTACTGAATTCCATTTTTGTATTCCTACATGTTGAGATCACTGAGATTATGTTCGACCCAAGAACGTTGATGAAAATAAACATGCCTGGTGCAAAGACTGATGCTTGTGGTAATCCACTATAGGCTTTTTCTCAAGTTGGCTTCGGTTTTAAATTTATTTATATACAATCTATCATGCATCTCACTGTTGCAGTATTTCAACAACTCGTGTAAAAACAGAGAATTTTGAGAGGCATGATCTACACTCGGGCGTTTCTCATTACCTCCGCCAAGGAGGTTCTGTTTTGGTCGCGCTGGTTTGTTTGTTTGTTCGCTTGCCCGTTGGTAAGCTCAAAGAGTTATGAACAGATTTTATGATTTTTTTTTTTTTTACTGAATATGTGCCTTAGCCCAACTTAGATCCACTAAATTTTGGTGGGGATCCGTATCTAGGATTTTTTTTATGATTGCATCTTACAACCCATTATTATTATTATTATTATTATTATTATTATTATTATTATTATTATTATTATTATTATTATTATCATCATCATCATCATCATTATTATTATTATTATTATATTAAGCTAAATGATGAGCCACACTGAAAAAATCGAGATTTATAACACCAAATGTGTCAGTGCAGGTCAAGATACAGCTAAGAATGAAAAAAAGAGTCAGCTAATTACGTAAGAAAAAACATGTTAGCTGACGTTTTAAACAATCTCTGTAGGCAATCTATTCCAAAGTCTACAAATAGCAGTAAAAAAGCATCTAGAAAACTGACTTGTAGACGATTGACTTACATCAAATGTCATTGAATTGAGGTAATGCCAAGGCATTACCTTTATCACCTCCGCCAAGGACGTTATGTTTACGGATGGCACCAGAGTACTTGAGAAAGGTGATTTTGATATAATTCTTCAAGTGTGAATATTCTTATTACGTCAGTGACCCGATTGCCTTGACCGAGGTATGCGCTTTCTGAGTGCTAGTTATTTATTGTTTGAGCTATTTGCTTACTGATAAGTGATAGTGGTCTATAATTTAGCTGGTTTTGTTTATCACTGCTCATGTGTTCATGTTACATGTGTAACTCTTATTATAGATCTTTTATTTCTATTTTTCTTAAAGTGATCTTATCGATATGCTGTCATCATAACTGGTGTTTTGTCTGTTTTACAGCAGCACTGAAGGAAAACTTTTTTCTTTTAGGGAGAAACTCGCTTTTTTTACTTTTTCTTTAGTTTCGCCTTCAGTAGGAATTTGATCTGTCAACTGATCTTTCAGTATTGCTGGTAATGCAGTGGACGAGCTTTGGACTGCTGACATATTTGTTAATTATATCTTCAAATCGTCCTTGGCGTCTCTCACGGCCTAAATGTACTCGTTTCTCCACGTTGGAAATCCCTCATACACTGATTGTGCTCAATGACTTCTGACACATTCGTCGTCTCTCCCTATCCAACATTTTTTTTCGGTGAATCCCTTTAGCTCTTTCCTCATTTCAGATTTGTAGGACATTCGGCCCTTAATCTCTTTTCATATAAACATACAGCCCTTCGTCTGCTTTTCTGAAAATCTTGCATTCATTATAAGGTGGTCGTTTTTACCCGGTGGAGGACATTTCAAATCTTGTATATTTAACCTTTCGTGAAGCACAGACGACCTTCCAGTGTCTTTTGGTTCACTCTGTCACGCTTTGCTGATGTATAGTGCTCAGTAACGACTGGTTTATAGGAATTAAATACACTTTGGGCAATTTTGTGATTTCTTGTGGTCATATTTTTGTACGACATGCCATTTAGATATTTTAGGTATATTCCATCTTTTCGATTTTAATACCTTAGCATTTCCACTTGCATTTCTTGCCAATCCCTTCTTTGTTCCTGCCATTTTCCTCCATTTCTATTTTTCCTGTCTACTCTGTCGGCCCTAATGTTGTTTTTTTCTAAAGAGGTGTCAAGCTTCTTTCAGTATAATTTCGAAAATAATTCTTTTCGTTATTCTAGTTGGCTGCGCTGCTCACTTGTCCGTGTTTCCTTTTCGTTGCTGGAAGTAAACTTGTTTGGCTTGGAGATCTCTCGCCCTCTAAGCCTTTTTATGCTCTGAGCTTTGATATTTTTCGGTTTTGACTTCTCTCACTTTGTAAGGATTCCCGATTTTACTTGCTTTGATTTTTTATTGTCCAAATTTTCTTATATTATTCTATTTTATAATTTTTTGAAGTGTTAAATCACGCCTGTTATCACTTGTTATCACTCAAAGTTTACTTTCAATGGACGTAAATGTGTAACAATGTCTTTACGACTCGGAGCATATTGTCAATCAGAGTGTGCGTGTGTGTGTGTGTGTGTGTGTGTGTGTGTGTGTGTGTGTGTGTGTGTGTGTGTGTGTGTGTGTGTGTGTGTGTGTGTGTGTGTGTGTGTGTGTGTGTGTGCGCGCGCGCGCGTGTGCTTTTCTCACTTCCCCGGAAGTTCTCTAATTTAGAGGTGCGCCTACCCTAAAAAGAAACCGCGTAGAAAAGCATCAGTGAGTACTTTAATTGATAAATATGAATTCCCATTTAATTTCCACCGATCAAACCAGGTAAAATAGGCCTCACGAACGCGCATTCTGGTATTTGTAACAGTGCATACGGAATAGTGAAAACTTTCTCAATAAACGATGGAAAGTAGATGGGGGCGTGAACCTTCTACTCTTCAAAGGTCGCGCATGTGTCCTCCAACCCCCGTCGCCTTAAAAGCGACTTTCTATAGGCCTACAACCAAAATCATCAAAACGTAACTCTCCAGCCCCTTTCGCCCTCAGATACGCCCATTTGGCCAAGCGGTTCTACAACCTGGAGCTCCGCAGCGACGACGTGGTGGTGGCGGCCTACCCGAAGAGCGGGACGGTGTGGACGGCGGAGGTGGTGTGGGCGCTCCTCAACCCCCACGCCCTCGACACCCTGGAGGCGAAACCGCACCATCACAGAGCCACTTTGCTCGACATGGTAAGGCAATTGTTTTTTAACGATCTTCCCGCATATTCTTATATTTATGTATTATTAATTTATTCTTGAGGAATCCTACTGATGATTGTGTACTTGCTGTACGTAATCCCATAAGCAACTTTCCAATTAATAGAGAAAATGCTTTCCGTAAGAATGAATGGAAAATTTAATTGTAATCTCTAAAAGACATAGTTTGGTTGAGGTCTATAGAGTAAGCAGACAATGCGTCCATAAATACCATTTACAGTGGGTGTGCCAAACTCATTTGCCCCAGGGGTCCATATTTTACACCTTAGTTATTTCAGCATCCAGGGCCAAGATAATCATGAGTCGACGCGACGAAACGACCTCATGGTTGACGTAAAAACAAAGGGAGAGCTATTCAATACCATTACAACAAAACAATAAATAAATAAATAAAAAACTTGTAAGAGTATGTGATAATCTTTACAAGAGCCGAAAGCTTGGACTGAATTTCACTGTAAACGGGGATGACTGTAGGAATCGATATATAGGAAAATATGTACATAAGGACTAACTTAAAAAACAGAACAATGAAAAATGGCTGCCATATGATAATATCCTGTAAACCAGAAAGGAATCTGCTCGACCCCCAAACAACTCTCATACAATCTCTCACAGGAACTTCCTAAGCAATCCCCACGAAAGCTGAAAGACAAACAGTCCTCTCCTGCAAAACGGATTCTCTCACTGCCTAGGAGGTCTCTTGCCGGAGGAGTCATGAGCGCGCCAGCTGGCCGCAGTGGCTCCGTCCCCCAGGATCCTGAAGACACACCTTCCCATCAATCTTCTTAACCCGGCGAATAATGTTGAATCTATTTTTGATCGTTTGCTGGGCTTAAGTGTAACGTACTAAAATAAGAATGATTGCGAAGCGTGAAAAAATGCCTATTTGGTGAACTAAATATATGAAAGGCAATTAGTTACTACTAGTAAAGGTCACGAATAGGAGGAGGAGGAGTGATGCAGGAAGGAGTATAGGAGTAGAGGGAAGGTGGGAAGGAGGAGTGAGCTGTGCGATGTGCAGAGTGTGAAGACATCTAGAATTGACAGGCGCGGAGACGAGTAGCCGAGGGAAAGAAGAAGAGAAAGAGTGAGGAATGAGATAACGGAGTGGTTAGGTACAGGCACAGTGCGGGGAAGAGGTAGTAGTGAGATAGGAGGAGGAGAAGGAGAAGCGAGACGTTAAGTAGGTAATACATAGACAACTATATGCTGAGCGACGAGTGGAGAGGCTAGGATTGAGCAAGAAAGAAAAGAAGGTAGCGTGTAGTCCAAGTCTATGGAAAAAATAGTTTAGAGGGGAAGAGAGCGAGAGGAGAAAAAGAAAAGAAGAAAGAGGAGGAGGGAGTAGGTAGAAGAAGAAGATGGAGGAGGAGGAAGAATAGAGATGTATGATAGTATAGGATGAAGAAGGGTAATGAGAAGAATATAGTATATATTATTATATGGCAGTGGATGGAAGTGGCTTAATATACAAATAAAACAAATAATTATAAAAAACGGTGGTAAAAATACAGCGATTTAAATTCTTTCAAAGGTACATTTCGCTATAAGTGACCTTAGCTGTTGACGCGACAGATAATTAAAAAAACAATGCATATCCTAAAGCACTTTCACGAACTTATATAAGCTCTTCTCTCGCGCCACGCAATGGTGATTATAACGCTCGCACCGCAAACCCGTAGGGAATCGTAGTGGCGGTGTGTGTGCTCCCTCTACCCTTCCTCGGGATTCTTATATGATCGAGAAGGGTTTATTAACGAACCCGTGACTTAGAATTATCGTGAGTCTCCAGGGCCTTTACACGTAATACGACGAAGACTTCCAATGAGTGGGTCGTCCCTCCTTATTGAGCCGAATGGCCGTCTATATGGAGTATCACCGTGGAAGCAGGCTGTGGTCATTCCGTCAAGATATCACCGCAACATCCTCTCCGCCTCTCCTACCGCACGCCACCATCCTCGCACACACGTGAACGCTCTGCACCAAGCGATACAAGAATGAGCATCTAGTTAACACTATATCGCACTGCACCTCACACACGTCACAGTCGCGCACGGTATGACAGCCTCGAGTGAAGCGTCAGAGAGGAATCTTATCATATTCTCCTCAATACAACATAGTAACACCACCCACATACTCCACTCAACTACACACATACACACACTACAACACACACACACACACACACACACACACTATAGAGAGTATATAATAGTGAAGAGAGAAGATATAGATAAGGATATATAGATGTATATATGTGCGTGTGGGTGTGTGTGTGTGTGTGTGTGCATATATATTAGATATATAGAGAGTATATATATATATATATATATATATATATATACAGTAATGAATACATGCATTACTGTTAGGATAAGAGTATAGTATATATATATATATAGTATAGATATATAATAAGTTGACGATAGAGAGATAGATATATAGATATATATGTATATTATATATATATATATAATATATGAAGATAGTGAGAATAGTAATGTGTGTGTGTATATATAATAGTATGGTAACATAGATAAGTGGTATATAGAGGAATAGATGGAATAACATAGTCAGAGATATAGATAGAGAGAGTAGGATATAAAGTGAGAAATGAGAAAAAAAAACTATAGATATAGAGCGAGAGCTAAGGGAGGATGCGAGTATAATAATAAAATATGTTATGTTACATGATTAAAACAATGTAGAAAATAAAAATATATTAATGATATAGAGTTTAAGAGTAATATATGTTTAAGTATATTAAACATATATCTCTCTAGTAATATAATTATCTATATAAAACACTATTATTATTTCCATCTATTTATATATATATTAGTACTAACAACTATACGCACGCTTGTATCGTATGCATTATTGAGCTGCCCTCCGTAGTGAGTGTAGGATGTAATATTGATGAACTAAATACTTATTTTATATATGTCTCTATAGTATGGTCTTTAGTATTAACTGGGTATATAATCTAGTTGTGAGTAATTTTATTGCGTATACATTATTACATACATACATTACTGCATATATACATATAGCGTATTAGTTTACGCAATAATGACATATTTACTTATATACTATTTTAGTGAGTAGTGATATAAATTTATATAAACTCATGATACGTGAATATAGTGTATGTTATATCGTAGAAATATAGATATGCTTATATAATATCTATTAATTATGCTATATACTTAAATAATATGCACTGGAGCCACAATAAGCCTTTTGATATCCTGTATATTAGTGTGTATGAGTGTATGTGTATATAAGTTATCTGATATCATTTCTTACGTTCAATTAAGTGTATAGTATATCAGTATATAAACGTCTGGAAGTTATAATATTAGATAGAAATATAGAATGTAGTAGAATATACATATTACTAGGATATTATAATGATAATATAGTGATCGGAATGAATATGCTCAGTGGTATATTGAAGATATGATGTAAATGTTTTTGAGTGTAAGTGATAATAATAACTATAGTATAATATTATTTTTATTATATTATATAACTCCTATTAATATATGACTACTAATAACTATATATTAACTTAAAATATATATATATATAATACTTATAATCTTATAAATAATAAGTAAATAACTACTTATACTCTAACACACAACATATTACAGTAACATATATATATGTCGTATATTAATATTATATATATAGTATATCAACTTAACCTTAAAATAATACTATATATTTAAAATAACTTATTTAATAACTAAACATATTAATCTTTACTGAGATTACTTATATTATAAAATCTATAATACTAATATACATACGACTTTATTAATATAGTTTAATTAAAACAGACTAGTAATAAATATAATATAATTAAATTATTAGATATAAATAATAATATTTATTATATATAGTTGAGATCAATATGTGTGTGTGTTGTGTGAGTGTGATAGTATTTGTGTTGCTGTAGTGTGCTGTAGTGCTTGTGTGTGACGTGTAGAATCTATGGAGTAATCTAATATTCTATTTAATCTATGATATTTGCGGTATGTATGTAGTATAGACACGCGGAACACGCAACGACACACAGCACTGGTCGGCGACACACAGCACACGCACACACACCACCATCGACCATCACCCCACTTAACACACCACACACAACACGAGCACACCCACACACACACTACACACATATCTACACATCCAGCACCACAGCGCCACCATACTGCATGATGCTCCTTTTAATGCATATATATGATGTATTTATATGTTATATATGTAATTGATAACATTAATTACACTATGTGATTGCTATACAATGTTTGTGAGTTGTTGTTTGATGTTATGTTTGGTTTTTAGTATATATATTATATAGTGTATTATGATATATATATATGTATGTATGTATGTATAGATATTATAATATTATATATAGTATATAAGTATATGTATTGAATATATGTATACTATAGTGATATTGGGTTATATTATTATAGTATATATATAGGTTTATATATTGTAAGTTGTATGTTGGGTTATAAGGTATGATTTATAAGATTACACACAACACACGCACCGCACCACGCACACCGCCACCACCACACACACACCACACACACACCAACACACAGCTACAATCACACGCTACGCACGCACGCACGCACACCGCACGCACACGGACACGCCACTGAGCGCTAGGCTCTATCTACACGCACCGGCAACGCAGCTACAGTCACGCGGTTACGCACCACACGCACACCGCACACACGCACGCACATACCACACCACACACACACACACACACACACACACACACACACCACACACACACACAGGCACACACTAAGCACTTACAAATTTATCTATATTCACGCAGGTCACGCAACTGCGTACTGCACAGTTTTGTAGTGAGTTGTTAAAGGTATATATACCTATATTATTATATATATACATTACATACATACATACATACATACATAGGTATACATTACATATACACAACATACCATAACATTTAATGATATTGTGTGTTGGGTGGGTGTGTGTGTTAAGTTGATAATGTAATATATATATTGTTGATGACTAATGAATATATATATATATGTATGTATTAAATTGTATATAGAGAACAACCAATTGACGATAGATAATTAATAACTCAGATAGAGATAAATAACGATATACAATGCCATTGAATCAATAATAATGTACCTATAATCAATATAATATATTATAATTGTGGAAATACAACTGTATATTTCCACATGCTCACCCACCATACTAACTAACTAACAACCATGAGCCTATCACATAATTATATGAGAACTAATACTCTATAGAATACTATAGGCACTCTCTCAGTCATAGACTTCACCGTACGTATCGTGACTCGTATGTATGTATATACTCACCACTCATCATAACTCTCCGAATTACATAACTCCCCTCTGTACAGTATACAAGTGACTCCTACTAATAGTCTATCAACACCTATAGCCATAATACCCTAAACTATACATAATACAACTATCAACTAACTAGCACTCACTTTTCCTTATATAATAATCTTCACTTCGCTCATGAGCATGTCAGGTAAGACACGATGGAACTCTAAAGTGTATAATGAGTTATTACACGTCTCTAATGAGTCATCATATACTTTAGTATATATTGTATATAATTCTGTTATGCCCTAATATATTGAATAGTGTCAATGGAATGGTATATTAATTATCGGTCATAGTGGAGAGGAAAGTTAGTATTTATATTTTTCAGATATAATATATATA